TGACTTTGATTCAAAGTATTTGCTTAGAATGCAACATGATTCTGTAAAACCTATGCTAAATCAGTATCGGTATTAAGCATACAGTAATACAGTTGCTCTTTTATTGTTGACAGTTTGAAAAGTTAATTGATGAAGCTACACGAAAAAGAGATTTCCAATTATTGGAACAATTTCTGGTAACAGAAGACTGTGAAAATGTCTCTCACAAATGCAGCAAGCAGTTTGTCAACAAACTAGACAAGCTTCTGTGTTGGGTAATGTAATCATTACATCAGAACCATCTATACTGTCATTGTAATAGCCTGAAAAAGATTTTTTTCCATTTGGCCTGGTTTATACCTGCAGTTGATTTGAAAAACTGCAATAAAATTTAGGAATGAAATCTCAACTTCAAGCTGCAATTAAAAGTGGCTTTTGAGAAGAAAAAGGCATCGGGTGAATTAAATACAGGTTCTTCTAGAACAGTACACTAAAGCTTATGTTATAATTTCAATTTCAGGAGCTTGACAAACAAGAAGTCAAAAGCATTTCTACTTTACTAAATTCTATTCAGAAATTTTGGAAAAAAATCAGCATCGCAGGAGAAGATGGGCTCCCAGCAATGATAAAATATGGCCTTATTGGAAAGATAAGTAAAACCATAAAGCATACATGAGTAGTACTTAAGTGCTGAGCAACTTAGTGTTCGATTTGATCCCTGATTGTTTCTGAATTAAGAGTTTCCCATAACTTTGCAATAAACAGTATTCAGATTTAAATGTTCTTTGACAAGTGGCTTCTTATAAAGTGATGCTGCTCTACCACACTGAAGGTTTTGCAAATTATGCACTATGTAATTAATTTAGATATGCTTACGGCAATTACAGGATACCTTTTTATATGAGCTTGCTATATTGCTTTTGAGGCAGGAATTGGAATTTCCTAGTGGAATTTAATAATCTTTTTGTTAGCACTATAGTCTGTTGAAAGAAGTATTACTCTGATTATGTTCTGATATTCCAACCTGCATGTTAAATGCATTAATTATTTGTAAGTCAACAATAAGTATACTGAAAAAGAGACACCCCTTATTGCTTTCACTAGAGATTTCACTGAAGAAAATGAATGGCAATGTTAGATGAGTGTTACTCAATTGCCTTCTCAACTGCTTTAATTAAAAAAAAAAAGGCATGGTGGTAACTTTATGTTTATATTCATACCTACAACCACAGTTTTTCATTCAGCCATTACCCATTTTCAGCTCTTTTTGTCAGTGATGGCAGATGCAGAAGTAGATCTCTAGTTTTTGTGTTAAAGTCAGCTACAGAAATTACATTAGTTTGAAATCACCTACATTAGTTTAGTGTGAATGAAAAAATTCAGTCTGGGGCTGAAATACTCAGACTGGTAATGTTGCTGTTGTTTTTGTATAGTTTGTATAATTTTACATAAGTATAATACAAACTATTGTCCTTTTTCATGCTACTAAAATAGATTTTCTTTTATTTCCCCTTTACATGGTTAATTGGTTTGAAAAGGTAAAAGGAATTTTGATCCTCAGTGGAAATAAAAAGAATGAAATGCTTATAAGTCTGGCTGAAGATTTCTTCAACATCTTGCTGGTAACAATATATTGATAATAAAATATGTTGTGTGTATATGGAAAAAAAATGTTACCAGTGTAGCAACAAAAAGACATTCAAATCTGTTCCTATTTCATATTCTTCTAAAGTTAATATTACAATGGATTCTGAAGTAGATCATAAGTCTTCTTGGATAAATAGTTTTCTAGAATTCATACTAGTTCATACTGTTCACGATTAGCATCATGAAATAAAATTTTAAAAATCCAACAATGTAAGGGTTCATTGAACAAAAAAATTTCATCTTGGTCTAATTTTGATGATATAAATTATTGGTATGCTAATCTCAGGACCCCAGGTTTATAAGATCTGTGTTTTCTCTTGTTCATAAAAATTTTTGTCATTGGGAAAAAATTTCCTTACATTTAACTGAAATATAATTTTGGGAAGCAACGCTTGATATTAGAAGTTGTCTCATGTTCCTCATTAAGGATGAAATAATTTAAAAATTTTAAATGCTTTTCATTACTTACTTTATGTACATGTTACCTGATCTTTATGCTGTAATTACAGTGTCAAAATGATGGGGTTTGTTTTGGTTTTTTGTTGTAGGCTATATGTGACAGCAGACCTGAAGGTGAGCTTAAAAAAAAAAAGTTTATGCTGGATATAATAGTTAAAGTGTTCTCAGAGAGACATTTTGTGTTAACACATCAGTGTTAAAATAAATCTTTAATACTTGTGGAGCCATCTTGAGGCAAGGTGGATCTGAGAACATGTATAGTGGGGGTGGTGCAAAGTTTCTTGATCTGATGTAAATATACCACCAGGTCTATATGCTTCAGCTAATAAACTGTAACATAAAAGGGCTTATCCTCAAGAGGGCTGTTCTGTGCACAAAGCACTACGTTTCTCATTCATGTGAAAAAATCTTGAATGTCAGCTGCAGCTTTGATTATTTTGAGATTTCTCTACTGACAGATTTCCTTATAACTTGCTGATGTCAGTAATGAAAAAGCAGGATAGTCTATTCTCAGAGATGGCAACTGAACTTTTTCCCGGAAAAGAACGTTGTTTCTAAGATACTCTTATAACTCAGCATAGCACAGTAGTCCTTTAATTGACCTTGTTATGAGTATCACACTGCTCTTACCTCTCAGTATAGCACTAGGTAGAAAGTCACTACAGAATATTATGCCGTCACAGTCAAAATGAGAGATTCATTTCCTTGTCCCTGAGAAGATAAATTTTAGAGTCTGAATTGTATCTCGGAGAGCTAAGTCATGGAATTGATCCGATTATATTTTTAAAATAATGATCTCATGCCCAGGGGACTTACATGGTGATGCACAGGAATAGAGACATCATAAAGAGCCGTATTTACTATAAACTGAGGTACCTAATCTGTCTTGCATTTAACCATGAAGTTTAAGATGGTTGGTTTTTTTTAAATATCAGTAACCTGTTATGGAAAGGAAGGCATACTACATTTTATTTCTAAATGAGAATAAATCTTTTTCCAAATGCTGATGAGGGAGCACCCTAATACACTCGATAACTCTGTTTTTTTCCTGTTCATTAGGTAAAATACAAATACTAGAAAACTTTGTTCTGAGAACATGTACTCTCATCGCTGATGTAAGAATTAGTATTTATGTTCAGCACGAGGTAAACCTTTCTAATCAAGTTTTCTGATTAGTGTTTTAACAGACTTTGTGAAGGTACAGATGTTACAAAAAAAAAAAAAAGACTCTTGTAGTGCTCTAGTGTCAGGGATGACTTAACGTTTCTCTGGTAATGTTCGTTGTTATTTATACATCAGGGTGGTTGTTTTTTTCAGATTACTGACCTATAATGTTCTGGACAGTAAATTACAAAACTGGTATTAAGATTCTGGTAAGAAAGCTGTGTAAAACATAGGAAACAATATGCTCTATTATAAATGCTATAAATAGGACTATGATTGTTGGTTGTAAATTCTTTAGATACTTGCAGGAAACTTGCATACCTTCTAGTATACTGCAAATTTCTCCTATTTATTTCAATAACTTCAGGTTGTCTGGTTTTTTTCCTCTCTAAAGAAGGTGAAAGGTACAAAAAAGCCTTCTGTAAAGGCTACATCCTCAAAGGAAAGGCCTTTTAATGCAAATTTAAGATACCCTTTATCTCAGCAATCAACTGCAGACAGAACTCTAGCTTTGAAGAGATTTTTCTGTATTTAAACATGCAAATAAGGAACATAACCATTCAACAACTGATGTTCACACTAAAGCTAATGTAATTTATTGAAATTGAGGTAATTATATTAAGATAAATACCGTTTAAGTTCAGATAGAACTCGTAGTCTTTTCTCATTTTGCAATTATTTAAGCATGTTATTTTCTTCAGTGGTATGAACATATTACAAGGGCCCAAAATAAGAATAACTTAAACTTTCACAACTTATTTTATATTTAATCTTGCTCCCTTTTTTAATGTTGTTCTTAGGTAGTAAGAAAACTTAATTTAATGCTTGACAACGTGCCTCGAGATGCCAAGAAAAAGATATTTTCTACAAAGGAAATGTTGCTTGTCATGTAAATAATCTTCAATATAATTTCTAAATTGTTACATCATTTGCATAGCTGGGAAGACAATTTTTAATAATATTGTTTATCGTGCATGCAGACTGCTCCCTGTTTCTCTCAATTTTGCATTTGCTATTGTGTTGCCAGTGGTAATGGTTGTGGGCAGGTATTCTCATGGGTTATCCATTACAAGCCTAAATTTACCTCTTTGAGATCTGCTTTGGGCTTTTTCTCATCACAGTTTTCTTAAAATAAATAAACTGCTATTTATAAGAATGTGTATAGAGCACAGTGAATCAGTCACTGTGGAAGGATAAGCTGTTCACATTGGGAAAATTTTTACAACATTTAAATAGAGTAAAAATTATATATATATATATATATGTGTGTGTGTGAGGATATCAGGTGATTCACTTCCCCAGTGGTACTTTTAGATGTATATCCTTAGCATAACAGAAGTACCCCTTTGAAATCTAATAGTTTAGTGGAGTCAGGGTTTTGTCACATACATTGAAAGCTTATAATGAAATCAACTTTTCTCCTATGCTTTGCGTTGCTGTCATGTTTAATGAAACGTTACTGCGTTTGGCAGGAGTGACATGGGGAGGAGAATTTTGGATGCTGGAGGTGAGCATGGGACTTAATAAACAATTCAGTTTTGAGCTTCTGAAAAATTACATGCAGAGCCATTAAAAATCCAGAGAAGACTTTTAGAAGTTGCAGAATATTGTGATTACAGTCCTCTGAAAAAATACAGATAATGCATGGAAATAATCTGCAAACTGCAGTGTTTCAGATATATGCAGTGTATGGCTAAGTTTTTGGTCCTCTTCTCTAGAATGTAGAATATAGTAAAATAGCAAAAGCTCCTAAGGAGGTCGGTCTTTGAGGAGAGTTATCTGCTAGCCATGTTTAGTAGTACCATAACCTCTCTCAGGGGTCGCTTTGGTATCCAACAATTTCCCAGTTTAGAGAGGTGAAAGCTGAAAACTTCTTATCTCTTGCTTATATGCCTAATGTTGCTCTGACGTTCCTTGAAACTTTGATTGATATTTCATTTTGAAAAATAAGTTGTTTAGTTATCCTTATTCACTTAGTTCTTTAACTATATATCCTTTATGGGTTACGTATATATATGACATGATACATGATATTAAATGTTCAGCACTACTTATACCAGTTTCCTGCATAATACCATTTTTTTTCACATCAGTAGTATCATTAAAATCACTGTTCCTGCAAAATGTATTGTGCTGTAGACTATGACCTGCAAGTAGCCATTACGGAAGCTTTATGCAGAATGGTATCAGAGAAACAAAGAGGACAACTGGCATGCCAGTGGTTTTCCATGGAGTTTGTGTCCAGTGCATTTAAAGGAATTAAAGATTCTGAATTTGAAACAGTAAGTCATATGAAAAATCTTTCCAGGGAGGTCAACTTTTGTTTTACAATTCTTTAAGACATTTTTGTGTTTTAATAGGATTGCAGAAAATTTCTTAACCAAGTGAATGGCATGCTTGGAGACAAAAGAAGGTAAAACTGTATTTTTTTTAAAGCTAATATATTTTCTTTTTTTGATTTTTATGGCCATAACCTTTGCATCGCAAAAACTGGTTTTGGGAAACTGTATTAAAATAATACAAACAAATAAGGCTAATATTGCTGTAGTATAAAGTCAAGGAACGACACAGAGATAAGATATTTTAAAATATTAAATAGTAAAGGAATTAATACCATCTTTTTGTCACATTGTTAGTCATCATCTTCTCTATCAAGATGTTAATTTTTCCTGTATTTGGAAAAAAGACAAACATAATGTAAGTTTCAGATTAGGTAACAGCTTGAAGAAACTGTTCACTAAGTAAGAACATTAATTTGAAAACATTCTTAAACAATATAAAGTGTATGCTACACTTTAATAAATGTTTATAAGGAGCTAGTTTTTGTATTTTACTTAGTTCTGTTGCAAAATCCTGAGATGCTTGTTAATTCAGCAAACATTTGACAATAGCTAGTAGTCTGTTGATACATATTCCTTTATTGATTTAGGATATGTACATTGAGATAATGATCAATGAGAATAGGACAGGAAAAGGAAGAGAAAATAGGAGCTTTTTTTCTTATCTATATGATCATATACTCTGCATGTTACTTTTATATGTCATGACAGCAGAAATTGGTATGTCTTTATATCAGGTGTATATTCAATATGAATACTGTTCTTAAAATATCAGCCGATAAGCTGGAACTATGAACATAGTCACAAGAGGTGTGAGACTGCTGCTTTAACTGTGAGAATATATAAAACTTCATGTTACCTCCTTTGGGGAAAGAAGTGCAGCCAAGTGATTGCTCTTCTGATTGCTGTGGTCTCTTAGTCTCTAAAGCACGCAAGTTTTGTGCTGAAATCAATCCAGTTGCTGTGTTCAGATACGCAAAATTTATTTACAGTGTTTTAGGATTCTTGACAAAATATCTTTTCCTTACAGGGTCTTTACATATCCATGTTTATTAGCAGCTCTTGATAAATATGAGGTACGTTACAGACTTCATTGTATATCCACACATTTTCATTTGTGCAGCTGAATAATTCTTTTGCCTTCTAGTTAAGAAAAAATAGGGATCAGGTAAGAAAATTTTTTTTTCTTAGACGTATACAGATTTGCATGTATTTTAAAGTTTGACAGACTAACACAAAGCCTGTTAGCTGGTATAAATCATTGCTTTCAGCTCTTACGCTTTTTAATTTTTTTTTTTTGTTTTAGCTACAGATACCATTGGATGAAAATCTTGAAGAATTTTGGATTGATTTCAATGTTGGTAGCAAAAGTATATCTTTCTATGTGGCAGCAGATGATGCAGTAAGCTTATTTTTGTCTGTCATACTAGATTGTTCTCTTGTTCTGAGGCAGAAGATGCACGTTCTTTCAAGTGTATCAAATTTGCCCCACATCAACATGAGGAAGTTAGGGGTGCATCTGTAGTGTGGAGGGGAAAAGAAAAATCTAGATTTGGTGTACATATTTAGATTAAACAATTTCAAAGTAATGATTTCCTAATACTGTTTGTGAACAGTTGCGAATATGAGCAAGAAGCCATTTACAAAATGGCAGTTATAATTTTTGTAGATGTGATTAAACTGTTTAATGTCTCTACCAAAGCTCTTCCAGAACATTGTTATCAATGAAGCATATGTTCATTGTCACTCCTTTATAACAGAGGATTTAAAAAGTAGAAAATTTTCCTCACTGAATAACTTTCTAATCACTGCACTTCATGTAATTGTAATATAATGCTTTTCTAGCTTTAAAAATATATTTTTTTTATATAAGGATCATCAGTGGGAAACAGTCATTATACCAGAAGAAGAGGTGGACATGTACAGCCTTGAAGGTATTGGCACTCACAAATGTGACCTTTTGATACACACTAGCTTGGATTTTCAAATTGATTAATCCTGAAGTACTGACTCAATTTTCAGCAAAGCACAATTCCCACTTAAAATGTTATAGGCACTGTTTTTATCAGGGATAAAATTGCATTGCAGTCACATTTGCATTTTAGGTATGCAGGTGTGATTTGTTAAAATAATTTTAAAATAATGTCTTATATTATTTCAGTGCAAAATAAGGTATGAGATAATGACATAATAATGTTCCTTTTAAACTAGTTAAATATTTACAAAATGACTCTATAATTTGCCTGCAGCTATAGTAAATAACCTTCAAAGAAGTATACAGGATAAATATTTCTAAAAGATTGAATCTTGTTTCACTAATAAAATCTATTGCAGATTAGAGTGAATTAAACAAAATATGCATCTTAATAGCTGAACTGAAGAATACAAGTAAGTTTCATGTCTTTACAAATTGTTTGTAATGAAACTACTTTGCAATTTTGTTTTTGTCCAGAAAAAGATTCAAAGAAATTATTAACAATAGATCTAAAAAGCCCAATGAATGTCGGTGATCAAGAAGGAGCTAAATTTTTTTTATATTTTGATTCTATCTTGGAAATCAAAGATGTAACTGGAAAGATTTATGGCTTTAGTAAATGTAAGGTAAGATTTAAAGATTTCAATTTTCAATCATTTAAAGATTGCAAATAGTTTTTCCTTGATTCAAAAGAAATGTCTCATTGCCATATAAATATTGTTATAACTGTGATTATTGGTATCTGTTTATACTGAGATTTTCTGATTAACATTGCCACTACAGAACAATATGCCTAAAGGATGAAACAACCTCAAGTTGCTCCAGGGGAGTTTTAGGTTGGACATTAGGAAAAATTTCTTCACTGAAGGGTTGTCTAGCATTGGAGCAGGCTGCCCAGGGAAGTGGCTGAGTCAGCATAGGTTAATGTCAAGTTTTGCATATAAAATTTTCCAGAAGGACAAGGACTGGATGCTTACAAATATGGAAGTCTTTCAGAAACTACTCATCAGCTATCCTATTTTGTGGTATGCTTACCACTGTTATGGATTTATTCATTTAGTAAAAAAAATTTTAGTAAGCCATAGCTTATTGCTTACTGCCTGTAACAAACTACTTTGCCCTGAATTCTGATTGAGAAACTCATGAGGAATGGAACTGCTCTGAGATTGTAGAATCTATTTTCTCCTCTAACCTGGTTTCAGACACTTACAATCTCCGATTTAAATATTTTCTTTCTGTTTCTTATTTAAAAAAATGAGCAAAGTGTGTATTCTTACATAGATGGTTACTCACTTTGTAGGGCTTTTCTAAGAAGCAGTCTGCATCAGTTGCCAAAACAACTGTACATGTTGTCTTTGATGAAAGTGGATCACAGGTATTTTACTTCAGTATGCTGGATGGTTGTTTTCTTGTTTTTTATATTTGGTCTGATTATTAGCTAGTTTATGATCATTCACCATAAAAACAAGGACTTTTAAAATGACAGTAAGTAAAGATAACTCTAAAACCCATTAAGTGATTTCCAATAAGTATGCATTGTATATTTGGGAAGATAAGAGTATGAATATCCAAATCATAGAATACTTCAGACAAATATGCACCAATTCATTTTATGTGAATTGTGAATTGGTAACCCATCCTTGTTGTTATTTTCACTAAGTTGGATGCTTTTCAAGCTAGAAGTATATAAGGTCTGAAGATTATCAGTGAGGGATGTATTGCTTGGGGTAAAGAAGTTGCTCTGTGTGTATTTGTATAAATATAAATTATAAAACAATAAAATCCAAATATTATATAAAACTTTTAAAAATAAAAAATATTATATAGGTTCTGGTACCAGAAAGTCAGTTGTCACCATGTTTGGAAGAAAAATCTGGAGAAGTGGAGAAACTCAGTAAGTACAAAACCCAACAACTTCCTGGATCTTTGAGGACTCTGAATAAAAATAACAGTCAAGAAAAGAGTGGAGGTGGTTCCTCCAAGGTAAGCAGAATTATCAAAACAGTACATAAAAAATACAAGTCAATATATTTTATAATGTAAAAACCCTGTTATTTTTGAGATTGGAATGTAATTAATACAGGGTTTGATTGTTTTTCTTATGACTTGACACTAAGCTGTATAAATTCCTTTGCAAAAAAATTCTTTCTGTGTATTTTGAAATTATAACGAAGGGACAAAAATAAAAAGCAATTGTTAGCATTTGTTAGACTATTAGGCTCTGAAATTCTCTTTAAAGAGAAATATTTCCAAGGCATGCTTAGATGTCTTGCAACATACAAAAGTCTAGTATAGGCTCTGGATACTTACTAACGATCAGCAGTAGTAATAGCTGTAATTAGAGACAAGTACTATAGGCTGGACATTTCCAAAGACTGACCGATTACAAAAAAACATGTGGTTGTCAAGATGAATCCAGTGTCCTGGTTATTCAAATCATAATTTCCTGGGACTACTCCGATGCATAGCTGATTCTCTGGTTTAAACTGAGAAGAGCCCAGTTCATTACACCCGGTGTTTCTTTTGCCTCACAATCACTTATAAGTTATATTACGGTTATACTAGGACTAACTACAGATATGCTAGAGATGGGGGGAAAAGATGAAGCAGTGTCACCATGTGCAATAGACATGCAGTGCACATCTTGCTAGCAGTAGTCTAGTAAACCTGTTCCTGAGGTTCTGCTGATTTACAGCTTATGTGATAGCTTTGCAGAAACTCCTGGGAATCGTCTTGGTGACTTTGATTGTTAACCAGCAACAGGATTTATTCATACTTTATTGAACCAATTTAGTAAACAACAATCACTGATCTCTGCTTAAAAACATTAGTTTTAAGTATATAATTCAAGTATTTTGGTGAACTTTCTCTAAAAAGGGAACCGCATAAAAATCACATTACACTCATGTGTGCAGCAACAGCAGTTGACATTCCAATAATAGAAACTGTCAAAAGACTTTTGGGAATAGATTATTTTAAAATCTTATGTTGTCATCCTTAAATCTGTGCATTATGATTAAGTTTTTTCTGTTCCTCAAGGTAACTACATCTTGTAAAAGGAAAGTGTCTGAAGCATCCATGCTTATTCCTGGAACTACAAGATTTTCTACAAGGAGTCCATTGGCATTTGTTACCACGTGTAAGTTTGCAAGTACTTTCACAGTAAAATATGCTATAAATCATCTTTGAAATACAGTCATGAACTGTGATCCTTTGCAGAGCTGGAAATGGAAAAGTAGACCTTGTAAAATCTTCCAAGTTTAAAGCACTTGCCAGGGAGATTTTAATCTAACCTACTTGCTACTTGTCCACAGCCACGCTGCATGGTCGTATCTGCACGCACGTTCCAAACAGCTGAATTCAGGCCACCTCTCGTATTTACTGCTGCTGTCAGTCAGCTCGTTGTGCTGGAGCAAGCTGAGAAGTCAGCAATTGATTAGAAGACCTAAAACAAGTGGTTTTTCATCTCTCTTCATACACTCTTGGTTTAAAGAATTCTCAGTAGTTAGTGTTCTGGTGGAAAATCAGCTTTCTTCAATGTGTGCATCAATCACTTGCATTTTATCTAGAAACTGCATGTGTTTCTTCATGGGGCAGTTGATTATATGGGTAGTGAGCAAGGTGGGATCCACTGCAAGGTTGAGGCGCAGGTCCAATGCTACTGATGCTTATATCAATAAGTGCTTCTTACAGAGAAAAGGAGAGAGTCATCACTTTCCTACTAATAGCCTTCCTGTAACAGGTATTTAATACTTTCTACAAGGGAGAGGTCTGTAAGACCAGTAGAGGCTGAAGATGCAACTAGTGGCAGAACAGCATGACTAACAAACTTAGTTCTCTTTAACTGTTTCAAGTGCATCAGTATCCTTAGTTATGTATATCCATGTATCACATATAAATTAAGAGTAATAGAGGCTCAAAAAGAAAACATCTTCAGATCAGGTTGGAACAAGACAGAGAACTTCTGTAACTTTTATTTGGAAATTAACTATACAGTCTATTCCAGCAAAAATATATTACAGTAAAGTCTTTAAATAGGTGATGAACTGTTTTCCACCAGAGCCAGGCTGTAAATTGCATTACTTGTGTCCAGACATTCACAGTTTATGGGCTCATTAACCTCCATGTAACTTAATTGAAATCACTAGAATTATAAAAGATACTAATGAGTTGACATAAATACTAGCCAACTTTTTTAAAAGTTTATGGAATAGATAGGCTCACGGGCAAAACTCTTCTTATTGATGTCACAGACAGCACAGTAATTGTAATAGAAGAAATGGTAAATTTCTGATTTGTCTGGTTTGTTTTCAGCTACCCCTTATAAAGGACGATTTAAATTACCTTTGGAAATGACAAGCTCTGCTGAAAGGTCTAACAATAGTGTGGTAAATGAGACCAGAACAAAGAATTTCTATCAGGAACCTACTGGAGTATGCATGTCATCCGTAGCTAAGTCTTTTACTTGGAATAACATGAATTTCTATTCTAATTTGTTCTTAATTCATATTTTAAAGAGGTAGAGTTTTGCAGTCAGCAACTCCATTTTAGAAAATAGTGTTTTACCTTATTTCATAGTGTTTTCTTGTCCTCTAGCTTTCAGGTTTAATAAAGTCAGACTGAACTCTTATAGAATTAGCTAAAACTAGCATTCACTCATGAGTTCCAACCTCAGAGTTAACTTGCTTTTACTAGAGCCACAATTCTTCCTTTGTGTATAATGAGAGCCCTGTATGCACAGAATCTCAAATTACTTATCCAGTGTTTGAAATACTCTTAAAACATATAATACATTTGGCTGTAGTTGTGAAATGTTAATGTCTTCAGGATATAGCATTTATAGCATTGGTTTTAGTGCATTTTTAATTAGACATTTGCTAAAATCAAGCAAAACTACATAGGTGTCACTGCAGTTTAAGTATTTTTGCTTCTGTTCCATTTGAACAAAGACTTCAAAGTAACATTTTAATTTTATTTCTAGTTCTAAATATCTTTCTGGGTCAGATTGAGGTCAAATCCCAGACTATGCGATTCTGAAGCATCTTTTAATATGGCCATGCTTTAGAAAGTCTTTAACATGTCGAATGTGTAGTTTAGAATATTTCAAGTATTACTTTCTAGGAGAATTTTACTTCTTTTGCTTTTATGGATTGTAATTGTCAGTGTTACTTATTGTGCTTTTTAGAGTGGGCAAAGATGTACACTAGACAATGACTTTTGTGAAACAGAACAGACAATCAGGAAGTTGAATATCAGAAATGAGGCAAAACTGCCTGAAAAGGTACTGGAATCAACACCTTCTATGAAATGAAAAAATAATTTCATATCTTATTAGGGAAAATACAAATTTATGAGATTATACTGTTTATAGTTGTACACTAAAATTTTCTTTTGGGTGTTATCCCACTGTAGAGAATGTGTGCTGAAGAAGTTTTAGGAATGGTAGAAGAGGCAGAAATTGAGGCCACACAAAAGCAAGCTTTAGGCAAGTCATTTTCCAAGTGTTGACTTTGAACCATTTCTCCTGTCATAATAATTGATATCAAATTAATGTCTCATTTAGATGAAGCATTGGATATTGTTCCTGATTCTCAACCAGTAGGGAAAAGCAGCAATCATTTGTAAGTATTGCAAAAGAATACCAAGTCACTGTTGTCACTCACTTTGAAGGGAGCATTTTCAAGTATTGCTGGAATTGAAATTTTGTTGCACAGTTTCAGAAAATTCCAGAATGTAATTGTCTTGTCTTCCCTGAGAATTGCATTAAGAACTGTTGGCTAAGACAGGTCACTTTTATTATGTAGGGTTTGGGGTTTTTTTTCTGAAATTCATGCCACCAAACTAGCACTCCTAAATATATTTGCTAAGAGTACTTCATGAATGATACTATTCTGTTGTCTTAATCAAAGACTTTAAATTGATAAATCTGTTTATGAAATTAGCACTCATTAACAAGATCAGAGTAGGAGTTTAAGTAAGCTTTAGTAGTAACAAGGAGAGCAATTCTTTCAGATAACATCAGAAGTTAAGATGCAAATGACATGAGGTTTACATAAGTAACCTGTGCCAAGTAGTAGATTTAGACAACACAACAGAATTATCTAGGGTCGGGGTTTAATGATGACTGTAGGATATTGTTGCCTTTTTGAAGGTGACTTAAAAATAGATGTTGCTTCTGAAGGTTTGCCGTTTTACAGTGCGTTGGTTAATTGAACAATGGTAGCAGGCTTAGGTACCAATGTCAAATGCATTGAAATCTACAGGATCCCACTGTCTTCCTATTTTGTGATGCATGTTTATTACAACTTAAGACTTGCTTTCTGTAATTCACTAATATTAAGGTGGTATTATCTTTGTTAGGCTGTCTGGTCTTTTGGAGAGTTCTTTTGATAAAACCAAAACATTGAAAAAAAGAGCATGTTCTGTTCCTGAGAAGAATATAACTGGTGACAAGCAAAAGCTAAATCCATCTTTGGCATGTATGTCCCATCCAGCTTATGTTCACATTTTGTTAACTGTTAGTGTTAAAGAAGTTTCAGATTAATTTTTAACCTATAGCTGTGCTATTTTGTTTTGGGGTTTTTTTCCTGTATTAGTTTCTATTGTTAGTGAAAGAGGTGTGAAACAAAAAGCATTTATTCAATTTTTCTGAAGTATGTGTCCTGATAAACAAATGAAAAAAGAGAAAAAACCCCAAGAAAATTAAATTGATACCACGAGGGAAACTGCAAAAACACTTAGTGAACAGTCAGAGTGTTAATTGGCACAGAAATAGTTGAGTACAGAAGGGGAAAATATTTAAACTACAACTGAAACTTACCATTTAAAATATTTCTTTCAGCTAGACTGTCTGAAACATTTTTGCAGCCTGATTTTACAAGAGGTGAACCTGATCTTTTTGGAAAAGAGACTGCAAATCCAAAACAATCAAAGATGGTGAGAGTGTCTTACCTTAATTTCTTTGATTTGCAATTAAGAAAATTGTCAAATATTTATTATTTCAAAAACTTTATATTTTACTTTCATTTAGTCACAAACTTATTTTTAATTGACTTACCACTAATATGGAGTGAATTAAATAATGTCAGCTTCACTGTTTACTTTTACAGTGTGACCTGTTAAAGATTAGTTTATTCTGCATTTCTCTTCAAAAATAGTCTTTTCAATAAATAATTAAGCACCAACTTGTGCTTCTCATGCACATCTTCTTTCACTTTTGAATGTTACAGTACCCAAAACTGCAACATTTAAAAGAAAATATCTGCTAAATCTACATTTTATTGCTCACTGTTCGAGCAATGCAAGCAACATGGTTTTCAAAGCAGGGTGATTTTAGTACATCTAGAAGATATTTAATGAAGTTCAGGTGATTGTTGGGAACCTGTAGTTCTGTTTGCAGCTTTGCCCTTCTCCTGAATGGGTTCAGAGTTGAGTTCATTCTATTTTTATAGAAAACAAAGTCTAAAGAAGTGGCAGATACAACAAAATCACTGATTGGTAAAATCAGTGACAGATATAAAGTAAAGACTGATGAGAAAAGCAAAGCAAGAGACTCCTTGGGTTTTAACAGGTATGATGTGAACTGTTTACTTTTGTGCCTATTCTTTCTGTCTGTGTGGCTTTGTCTGTGACCTACCCCTCTGTCTACAGTTACTTCACATCTTGCTTTCGTCTGAATCATTTGTTCACTTCTGATAAACCCTACTGTACTGAAGAGTAGGAGACTAGTAGCTGAATATTTCCAGTAGTGGAAATAACCACAAAGGCTGTTAGAAAGTCTGTTCAGTGGTCTTTTGCTTATTCACTCACAACACATTTCCTGGACAGAAGTTACCTGGGATAGATCATGGCCATTTCACGTGTTGGGTGTCTCCATCTTATCATCATAGTTTGGGAGTCAAACTTGGATTTGGTCATCAATTTTCTTATTTTCTAAAGTTTCTAGTTCTCTCTTTCCCAAAGATTTGACTGTTAGAGCTTAAATGTAACAAATTCTTAAATAATAAAATTAGTCTTATCTTGCTGTAACTGATGCTTGGGAGATATACTTTACATATAATTAGATGCTCTCCACGTTTGATTGTAACTGGATGACAAAAGACTGGAATAGTTAGGCTATGTCACCTTTTAAACCTTTTGGATAGGGGCTTGGAAGACATGTAGAACCTGCAGTATTAGCTGTGTGGTCTGGAATGAATTTCTAAAGCATAAAAGTGAAAGGGGCTGATGTCTTTTAATCCACCTGGTTTTGTATTTGAATGCCTGAATAAATCTGTTGTGTTTGATAAGTTTTTTTCTTATATAAGCAGTATTCTAATGCATATATTCTAATTATCATTTAACAAAATGCATCCTTTTTTTTAGGTCACATTTAAATAAATCCCATATCCGTGAGGTAATGTATTATTGCTTTTGTTGGAATTTTTTTTCATATTGGATATATGTGCATATGTGGTGGTAGCTAGTAGATATAAAGTGAAAGTTTACAAATATTGCTGAACGTTAAATATCTGTATACATAATGTTAATTATACATTAACTATATATACTAAAAATACTTTATATATGTTTACTTATGTGCAATAATAATTTTACAGGCAACTATTTCTGTTTACATATTATATAATCAAATCTTCTCCTTTTGAACATGGCAATGCTAAATAGTTAAAATAAAAATTCAGTGAATGAGATTATAGAAGCCTTAAATGGGATATAGCCAGGACATAGGAATTAGTCTTAATGTTTGGGGAAAAATCTCTGAGGTTTTGTTGATATTCTTAAAGGATAAATTCTAAAAGATTTAGTTTCTACTAGATCTTGTCCCCTTTTGCCATACTGTATTGTTGTTAATCAAGTGGTAGCCTGAGCAGCTGCTAGGTTTTTTTTTCATATGTTCATGATGAAGAACTTGCTTTTTGAGATGACTCTGTATGAATGCATAGTCTAAATTTGGCATATGAATTAACTTTTTATTTATGAATAGGAAGAAGTTCAGGATAGAAACCTGAAAAACACTACTTCTCTTAATGTAACTGCTGGTCATATTAAGTAAGTAGTTAAAACATTTTCAAACACATTTTCTAATTACTCATACCTAACTTTGTGAAAGGTTCATTAATTCAGTCATAAAATTGATCTCTGTGTCTGTTTGACAGGGATGATGTCTACAACTTTACCGTCAGTGGGTTTGATGAGCCTACAATAAAGCTTGGAGTAAGAATATAACAGAAACTGATATGTTATGAATAGAATATAAAGGAGTTCAGTCAACTTATGTCTATTGAAAAGATAGTTAACATCTGAAAATGCAGATTATATCACTGAACTAAGTGGGGGGGAAAGTTTGCCATGTAACTACCTCCGTCACTTTCAAATGTATAATGATATACTCTATCCCAAGGTCTTGGCCACTTCAAGCTATTATGAATTTTTTCTGAATTAAGAATAAAACAGTTTGTTAGAAGTATCTTTATTTTTAAATTATCGTATTATCCTGAAAGCATTATTGCCATCTTCCCAGTTCCCATTGGAAAGACATCTTTGCCCAGATGTTTGAGTCAAAAGCTAAGATAAAAAGCAAAAGACACAAAAGATAGTTTTGCTTCTTATGGCTAAGAGGAGCCTGCTGAATTGGTGAAGGTAGCAAAGCAAGTGGATGGAGACTAGTGTATTAGTTTGAGATATTGAAAGCTTCAGTTCCAGTTGGTTTTAACTATCAGTACTGTTTTTATATAATTTCTAAGATATACATCAATTATTGTAAGTTAATTGATGAGTATAAAAACTGAGGAAAAAAAGCCCTTTCCTGTTACTGTCTGGTGACCTGTTTAATTTTGTTCAAATTGTATAACAAATGAAACCCTTCATTTGTTTTATTTATTTACATTTTTAGATCCACGAAATGCAGGTTACTGAACTGAATGGTCATACAGGTCCCAAGAAAAAAGGGTAGGGAAGTTATATTGTCTCCTAGTCTCCTGATTACAAGAATAGTGCTGTCTGCGTTCTCCAGCATTCCATTATGAAAATCCAGGGAATGGATACTTGACAGTAATATCTTGACTGTGTTGTTTTTTCAAGCAACAGAAATAGCTGCTCTAATCTCATAGGCTGTTTTATAATTTTCCTTGGGAAGCTGATAAAAAGGAAAGAATGTGTTTCATGAAGAGAACAGCTTTAGTTCTTGTCATTGAATACTATGGAGATATAAATTCCTGAATAGAGGGGGATAGTGTTTTTGTTAATGACCAACCTGCAAAGGGAAATGCTGTGTGTTTTAATGATCATTAGGAAATAAGCGCATCCTTTGGGCTTTAAGGTGAACAGATATTTCCAAAATGGATATGAAAACAAAAGTAGGTACATTTGTTTGAATCCTTAATCCACGTATCACATGAATAGCAGAAAGATTTAGAACAAGTGTTTTGGAGTGTATTGTTTAAAGGTGTTTTTTCTTTTTCTAATTAAGGAACACAAGTGACAATAAAACTAGCACTGAAGTGAAAGGAAGAAAAAAAGTAAGGCTCAGATTTTTGTGGAATATTATACTTTGTCTTCCTGCCTTCAAATACCAATTATGTCAGTGAAAGGTATATTAAAAGTAAATCGGTAACTTTTTTTGGTTTTTGTAGCCTAGAAACAATCAAAACAAGAAGCATCTCTTTAGTGATACAGACACAGAATACAGAGGTGATGACAGCAAGACAGACATTAGTTGGCTGCAAGAATCAAATAGAAAACCTAAAGTCCAGTTAATTGATTACAGTAGAAATAAAAACTTAAGAAAATCAGTAAGCACAGAGAAAAGTAAGAAACTTTTTTCTTATTTCTTAAGAATGCTGCAAGAAGTTTTCCATAGCATTATATACTGCACAGCATGTAATGTTCTGTGTTACAGAATGTTTTTGTTGTCTTATTTCGAAGTGTAAGGAATTTTCAAATTGGTTCTTATAATTTATAAAGGTTAATTTCCAAAAAGTCTATTTTAATGGGGAAAATTATTAGAGGATGGGACAGGCGGAGGTGGCGTTTGTTGATGAAAAAAACCTCGGCTTTTTAAAATAAAGTACTGCAAGCAGTTTACTGAATCAGAAGGTTTGAAGGCACAAAAGTGATTCTTTGATTTTACAGCTAAAACTCTAAATGAAAACATTTAACTACTTTGCTGATTTTTCTAACTTTATGTATTGTAGCAGAAGATAAATTTTCTGAGCCTACTTGCCACATGGATAAACATAAAGGCAAAAATACAAAAAAGAAGGTAAATGTAAATTTGAAACTAGACTTGTAATACATATTCAAAATATCTTAGCTCACTACAGAAACTGGTTTTAAATAATTCTTCATAAATATGTGCCATTTCTTCATGCTTATTTTAAGATCAATTGTTAAATACAGTTTGTTCTTTTCAGGTACTATATTATTTTTATGTAGTATTTAGCTGGTGTTTCAGACATAATACTAGCTGTGAGTTAGAGTGATTATTATACATTGATGCTTTTGTAAGATTTATTACTTTAAATTATTGATTATGTCTATTTACGGCTTAATAGCCATCTGCATTCAATATACCATTAGCTTTTCAGCAAGGGTTTTCATGTGTCTAATGTGCTTAACTGAATTTTAATACCTTTGAGATTATTTCTTTAAGTGAACATATGTAACATAGTGAACCTGTGAAAGCAAAAATGTTATAGATGTTCGGACAGAATAACTGCAGAATATGTGTATTAAAGTTGGGAGTATAGTAAATGATAAGTGATTATGAACATGTTAATGGAATTTTCTTATATGTGTTTGTAAACTTCAGTTCAAAAAACAAAAACACAACAGCTGAAAAAAACCCAAACCTTCCCCTGTACTCACCAGAGTACTTTTTGGTCTCTCAGACTACACAATAGCCTGAAACTCCATACGTGTGCTTGGTGTCAATCATGCGTACGAAAATATGATCACCATGTGTAGGTATTGGTGGTGACGTCTAGTCCATGTAAAGCAAAACTAAAGAGGGTTTCAGTTGTTCAGTGCTGAATCTGTCTACTTATATGTCCCTTTTCAGTAGCAAAATTCCCCAGGTCTACCCAACCAAGGTCAAAGTGCCTGTGTTGAGGAGTTAGAGGGTTCCACTACTGCACAGACTTAGATGGAGACCATCTGAAGCCCAGGAAGCCACTAACAGACTTGGCCTTGGAGATGAGGAGGCTAGGAAGGTGTACATTTTGCATAGAGTACTTTTGAAGAGAGTAGGCGGCAGGAATTCAAATCTCTTCTAGTCTTGACAGCTGTTGCATTTACATTTTAGATCCCTTCTACTGTCAGATCCCTGGGGTACTTTCTGTGAGAACATGTTTTGCTCTGTTTCTGAACACTGCTGTGTAGAGTGGCTGTAGTTATGATGTAGAGGGGGGACAGATAGAAAGGAAAACTGATTCTAGTGTAGCAGTTAAGGCAATCAGTTCAGAAGTGATGATCATGGAGACTGGTTCCTGCTCACTGTGCAGGCTTTTGGTTTTGTTCTGTTTCAAACCAGATACAGTCTAATTTAAATGTGCACATATTTCAGAGAGCAAGCTTTGGAAACCCACTTCAGCTTTGCTGTAGTTCAAAACTGGCATTTAATTTGCCTCTACTTTTTTGACCCTTACATTCCTGACTGTGCTGTGCCCTATCTACAGTGAAAATTATCTTCCCCAAATGCTTAGTAGACTGATGGTTGGACTCTCAGAGCTTTGGTAAAGTTAAACTTTTTTAGCTGTTTTGAAATAATGGATTTCAACTAATTAAACCAAGTGACCTGCCATTTATTCTTACATATTTATTTATTAATCATTCTAATATAAGCTGAAGATGTTTTTATTCTTCCAAAGATAAAGGAATGTAAAAAACAGAATCCAAAACCTGATGAAATGGTAGAACAAACCACCAGACAAAAACTACCTCGAAGAGCAGCATTAGCAAAAAATTACAAAGAGCCTTCCAGTTCTGAGTCAGAGAGTGAAAGAAAATCTCCAGCATGCACCTTTAAGGAGGAGAAATCAAAAATACAGGTATATGGTTGCACTTCATTCCTAAAAATCCACTTCTTCCATATCTTTCAAGCTCTGGTCTACTTTGTACTTAGGACTTCTGAATTTTAAGTGCCCAACATAAGCAAGCTCAAATTAATTTTATTTATTATTTCTAAGAGCCCTTTTTTTAATAATGAGTATTTAGCTGCTAAGAAAATCAGTCCTAAATAAATCTTCTCAGTCATAACAGTATTTCAGTTTCTATTTATGAAATTTATTCTGCTGCAAAGAACTACTATGTCCTTTATTTTAAAAACTAATATTTTGAAAATGTCTATGGAATGGGAGGTTTTAGTGAGCTAAATTTTGTTCTTTTAGGTAATGTGGTTTTGACAATGCTATGCCTATTCTGTGTACAATAGAAAATGCTGACTTTGTAGAGGATATGTCAATACATTTGCTGACTATCCAAATAGGATTTTTGGTAAATTAAGCAATGACATTGGGCATTTTAATTCTTTTAGCATAACATTTCATGTATATGGGTAAGTCTAAACTACACTGATTCACAGTAATTGGCTCCAACACTTAAGAAGTTCATACGAGTAGAAATTTGGGTGCTGAATTAAACAAATTCAGTGCTTATTGATATCAGAACACCTGATATCCTTATCAATTTAAGTACTTCTAATGATGTTCCTTTCTGGACCTTCTGCTTGTTCAATGGTACATATAGCTAGTGTGCTCTTTACCTGCATATATATGTACTTCTGTATGTTTACAAATAATGTTTATATATTTGTATTTTGATAGAAACATATGAATTGGGAAAACCGGGATGATAATCAGCAAAAGGAACTCCAGACTGTTGTATCTATGGAGCCAAAAAGAGTAGCTAACTATGTACATAAAGTATTTATTAAAACAAAGAATTCTGCAGAACAAAAGGAAATTGAAACTCCTTCATCTGAGAGTCCTGCATCTCTTGAGACAATGAGATGTAGGTATTCTGGCTTTTAATTTATAGCAATACTGTATCAAAAGTTGGAGGTTGAATGAGGATTATCACAGTAATATGATTTTACATTTATTTCATGCTTTTAAAATAGGAGGTACCCCCTAGTTCAGTGTGTACCACATAGTTTCAGGAAGTGTATTAATACAACACTAACACTTTTATAAGTTGGTGCAGTTATTTGACATCAGCATTATATAGAAGTGCAATACATAGTTGTTAGAATGAATCTGGTAACAGCTAAGATAGTGCAGAGAGGTCAAAGAGTGCAAGTGTGGCAAGTTGTATGCTAACACTTAAAGTAAAATTCCACACATCTGAGACTTGCAGATACCTAGATGTGAAACAGTTAACAGTATGGGGCTTTAACTTGCCTTTTTTAACTTCTGTTCCTCATGCTGACAGTTAAGTAACTGTTTTCTAGCTGCTGAAAGAATATCAGAAGGAGATGTTACTCAAGAGCACAATAATAGTGAAAGATCCCCTGGTCTTCAGGAGTCAACACCAGAAAAAAGGGAAATTTTAAACTTTGAGAAAGGAATCTCTCCCAGTAGTTTCAGTCCACAAAAAAAGAATATTCAAAGTGTATGTCTTAATCAGTCTCCTGAGATGACTGTTGAAAAGTTAACATTTGGAAATAAAAGTTTGTCACCAGCTTTAACTGAAGTGTCTTTGGTAAGAATATTAAAGTTACTCTACATTTATTTTAACTGAAAATGTTCTATTCAGCTGCCAACTGTTTCATGCTTTTGTGCCTCTCCTTTCAATAATTTTTTTTTTTGTTAATGTGTAGCTCAGCTTAACAACATATAAAGCTGTCAGTGGAAAACATGCAAAGGGAAATGTATCTGAAACATGTGATAATAATGAAGATTCAAGTTTCAGACCTTGCTTTTCAGATGCCCTTTCTATTAAAGGAAAACAAGATATCACTAAACCTATCAACAAAAGAAAAGAGGTATGATACTAAATTCTTTGTTCTTCAGAAGAGAGCTGCAGCTTTTCTTGTGTTTTATCTATTTTACAGATGGTGAGGTTTAAGGGAAATGCATCTTTTTTAATGTTAAACACTATATATAATGTTTACTTGTGACCTTCTTGGAAAATCCTACTAGTTAGTTTTTAAATATTTGAGATAAATTAGGGAATTGTTTATCATATGGATACAAAGAAAGAATTGTATCTTAACAAGATCAGTTGTAATATCTTAAAAAATAACAGGGAATAAGTATTTTATTATTGATTTCAATTAAAAAGAAATGTTTTTTCACAAATTAAAGAATTGTGACATTTGTATGGAAAAATTCGTGAGGTGAAAAAGTGCTTTCATAGTTTTATCATTAGTGTACTACTCAATATAAAAAAGTAGTGCAGTATTGGCAATAAATAAAAACTACTGTATACCTTGAAACCACTTCTCATTAGTACTTTTTCTGGTGAAAAAAGCACTAATGACTCCTTTAAAAAATAATTTTGTTTGCGTCCTATTGCAAGAAACAGTTAAACCTTATTGCTAATTTGACTTACTGCTACTATTAATTATTAACGTGGTGAAGAATTAGTTTATTCTGTCATCTAGTGAGACCTAGTAGTAATTTATGCATTATGTGTTGGGGTTTATTTCTTACTGTAGTTGTGTTCATGTTCCTGTTTAATGAAAAGCAACATAAATGTGGATTTCAGATGAAGACTTCTAAAAGTTCTTTAATTTGGAGATTAATAAATCAGTGACTTTTCTTTTAGGATTGTGTACCAACATCTCCATCGTCTGTTTCCAGTGGAGGTAAAGTACAGTCTTGGAGTGAAGAACCATATGGCCCCATACATGAGTCAGGTACAAACTTTTAAATTAAATCAAAAGACTTACTATGTGTTTCTGTAAATGTTAAGAAAAATGTGTATTTGGCATAAAAATATTGCCCAAGTTCTTTAATCTTGTTTTCTTTTATATATTTTCAATATTATTCTGTATTTATTCTTTTTTCTCATTTTTCTCTGCTGTTTTAATTACCCCTCAAAAAACCAAAATTGGACTTTAACAGTACGTAGGTACTGTTAAAGAGTTAATTGCGCTCTTAATGAGTTAGATGCGTTCCCACCAACACTGGAATAAAAGTGGGGGATAATGGTATTATTGAGAAAAGAGGGCTTAGGGTGAATGTCTTTAATGAGCGAGTCTTGCATGGGTCAAAGAGTTTTGTGTTCCATTGAAATCCTGTTCTTTTACATCAGGTTCTCATAGCTACTGAACGTGCCCTCTGTAAATGTAAGGGTTATTCATTCCTATATAGTCCTCAAGCTTTAAAGCCAAGGCACATACTTCTAGAGTTTGGATCCAAAGGGTCAATAAATTATTCTTTATCCTCCCATGTCATTGTTCTAAATAATCCTAAAAGTAAGCATTGCTATCATGTTTATTAAAGGACCGACTGTGCAGACATTTCTCAAACGAAGGTACCACAGTGATACAGAAAGCAATTCTGATGAAGCAGAAACAAGCAAAGAGGAGGAAAAGAAAGGAAACAGAAGAACAAAGTTACAGCCTAGAAAATTATTTAAAACAGATGATACTGTTACTTACAGAGGTTAGTTATGGGGTGAAAGTTGACTACAGTTGTGCAAAAGTTTAAGATAATGTAACAAAGTTTTAACAAGTAAAGATAATATCCGTAAAAAAGCATTTTACATGTTTAAAAAAGAAATAAAAAAGAAATGCTACATATTTAAAAACCATAGCCTTTTAAAAAGTCGGAAATTGATAAAAAATAGAAACTGGTGTCAGCCATCTAATTGGTGAAATTAATCTGTATCTAACAAAAGCTGTTCTAGGCCCTGTTGTAACTTCAGATAGGATACTTTTTCATACTGAATTGTGACATTATCTTTTTTTACTTGTCTGCAGTGTCTGAAAGCATATCTACACTATCTGTAAACGATCTGTCTGTTTTGGATGGGGAAATCTGGGGACCTGGTTGTTCAACTATCAGTGTATGTCGAAAGCTCCAAAAAGAATTTACGAAGAAAATTGAGGCAAGACATTTCATATACAATATTAGCTGTCTGGGGAGGTACATGTGCATGTGAATGACAGCTTGTCTTACACCACAGAATTTGCTTAAAAGGACATGAAAATAGCCATGTGCATAGAACGTCAAGAAATTACAGAATTTAAGTTTCCTTTTGTGCCTCTTTCAATTCATTTATGTATCTAACTCTCCAATGGTTGTCTTTCCCAGGCCTGTTTTGGGATTTTTTTTGTCTGTTGTTTCAAGCTTATGTATCTAAAGTAATGACTGTGCTGCATTTTGATTTATTTTTTTTCCAAATTATCAAACCCATGAATGAGATTTGTTTGCAGAAAGGAAAACATGAGCCTGAATAATGCATTTGTTCATCTTAAGACAGCTGTAAGCACACATCATTCATTCCATGTGTATGCTCTCTATTTTGAAGAATTATTTTTCAAATAAGGTACTGTTAGGTAGAATTTTATCAAGAACATAAACCCTTTTCCTTAAAGGATAAGGAGATAATTTTAAGAAAAAGGGGGTTTGCTCAGCATGATCTATGATACTAAGCAATTACAGTATTAAACATACTACAGGTTTCTTCCTAAAGTGAAAATAATCTGAATTTAATGTTGAAACATCCTCATAGAGCCGCTCACGGAAAATGGATCATTTTACTAAGCAATCATTAAGAATTGCCCATGAGCATTTGACAACAATGAGTTACCAGCTTCGTGAATGCAGGTCTGTAATGAAAGATTTATTTTAAAACACCCTTAAAAAGCCTTAAAATTAATACTTTCTAAAAATAATTCATTTTGTTTTGGTAGGGTCAGGCAGCTGGACCAATTTCATTTTGCTCTTCTGGAGGAACTTGAGAATTTTGAGAAAGATTCTCAGTCCCTGAAAAACATGGAAAAAGAATTCTTGGTTTGTATTTTAATTGCTTGATCATGGAGAAAAGCAAATTCTTGTGGAATCCATAGATTATTCATAGCATCTTTAGATCGTTAGTTCTGATTAAGCAGAATGATAAAGGCTTTTTAAAAGTTGGGTCAAATTTCAGATAATGAATTTGAAGTGCTAGGCTTGGCTAATGCTACGCTCTTAGATTTTTAGATCACCACTATATTTTTTACCTCCTAGAATAAACTACTACTACTACTTTTAATGGGCTATCTACCCAACTTCATGAGCCTTTTCTTTCAGCTGGCCTGTATTTCAGGAAGAGTCTGTAGGCATTTGAACCTGATTTGCTGTGTGTTCTGTGACAAGCCAGTTTACACGATGGGTCTGCTACTTGCTGTAATGTAAAAGTTAATATAAAGTTAATATACAAATATTCATATAAACACAAGACTATATTTGCTTTTTTCTTTTACTCTGAAGGCATGGCTTAAATTATATGGGAAGTTATTATATGGGAATGCTATGCGTATTCTTTTTCATAGTTTTGAAACTGTTATGGAGAACAGATTTTTGCTGAAACTGATTCCATGAAAGTAGAATTTCTGAAGTGCCTCATCCTGCTAGCTAAGCTTATTGTTTTTATCAAGCTTCTCTGGTCACTGTATAACTCCATTTTGTGCTGAGTCTGGGGTTGTAGGTTGCTTTGTTCATACTAGATGAACATAGTAGTTCCTACTGATTATCATCTATTAATATTTTCCTTTCCAGACCTTTTGGAAAAAACATACACATACTTTTAGTACATACAGGAAAAATGAGCAACAGAGGTTAGTAGGCTTCATTAATCCCAGGATGAGATTTGTGTTCTTTCAGTTGAGGTATAAATTAGGCTAACTACTATTCTCTATGCCATTTCTCTCTTCCATAATATAGAGATAGTAGATGTGATGAGAAAAATAAATTAAAATGTTACGTTATAGGAAAATGCAATTATTCTCCATCTAAATTTCTCCATATACCATAGGGACTATTCCAGTAGTAATAACGATGGTAATATTTATCCATGCTTTTAAGTACAAATAGACTACAAATATGTGTGGAAAGTTCATATGTAGTAATGCTGCTTGAACAGCCTTTTATTTCTTTAGAATTGAGAGTCTTAAAACTTCATTTGAAAAGAACATCTACCAGTCTGTTGACTATGAAGAACATATTTTTACTGCAGAGGTAGGATGAACTTTTGTTTGTTGTTTTTATTATTCTTCAAGTTTACCAACAGATAGCAGTTTTGACATTTTTCCCAAAGAAAACTTTATCCTCAGCATTGCATAAATGCCACTTAAGTATTTTTGCAGTTTTTCATGTTCATAAAATGTCATTTAATGTAATAATATCCAGTGTTTTAGGCCTAGATTTCACCCATTAGAAGGTGTATGCAGTTGTCTAGAAAACTGCTGCAAGATTTATTCTGTATTCTGTGCCTTTGTTTACCCATGTTAATCATCCAAGAAAGAACAAATTTAAAATGAACATCCCTTTCCTTAGGCAGGTGGATGCATGTGCATCTGTATCTTTCTGTTATAAGGCATTTTTAGGGATCTAATTGTCTTCATGAAAACGGGTTACCAGTTTTGAAGAGACGATGTATTCAATATCTTTTTGTAGATGCATCTGATGAAAGAAGACATAAAAGGACTTCAAGAGAAACTTCTTAAAGAAATGGTAAATTAAGATCTCTTGTCCTCATTTTTTTTATTGTTTAAGTATAGGTGTTTGAACACTGAATTACTAAAAAGTAATTTCTAGTCCCCTATCAAAAATAAAAATGAGTCAGAATCCAAGTATCGCTGTCATGTAACACTTTAAACCTTATCTGGGTGATAGAAGCAGCAGGTAGATATGGATATACTGTTTTAGTTCTGAGTTCTAATATGTTGAATGTTGACATGGAAAAGTATGCTGCTTTTAACAAAACATATGATACACTATGCACCACAATTAAAATCTTCCCTTTTTTTAAAGTATTGTATTTAAAGCATGTGATAAATGTAATGCTTTTTACACAGCAAGAAGAAGAACTCTGCAATGTTCGTAGAGGATTGCAGACATTGTTTCAACTAGAAGATAGAAATCTGAAGTAATATTTTCAGGTGCCTTCCCGAAATTCGTGAATATAAACACACTTTTATAATGTAAAATTTGACAACTTTTTTTTTTTTACACTCAAGGAAACTATTGTAATGAAAGCATATTTTCCTTAATAATATAAAATCTTTGTGGATAAGACTTCTCCTTTTATATGTGAGACTTGGAATTATTTTACTGAATATGCTAAAATATGTAAATGTTTTTATTTTTAGCACATGCTATTTTTGAAGGAGTCTTTAACAATTTTCATAGGTTATTTAACTGACTTTCAGAAGAATCACTTCAAACTGTACTTTGAATCTATGTTTTGGGTCTGTGTGTACAGAATACCCCTTTTCTCTGATCCAGAATACAGTCAGAAATTAGGGATCAAATGCCTGTTTTGATCTCAGCCCTATTTGTCTGTGGTGTTAGACTTCAAGAGGAGCTTCTAAGAGAACACAAAACTCTAAACACTTGTGGTTGAACTGCGTTGCAAATAGTTGTATTAAATATTTCAAGAAAAATATATATTGTCTGGATTTTTCTTACAGAATGATGGCATTACTATTTTGCTTTAAGTCAATAATACATATTTGCATGTCAGTCAAATAAAACTTAACTACTGCACAAGTATTTTGTGTAAGGCAACAGATAGCAAAGGGTCTGCTATCTGTAGCTCAGAAATACATCCATATCCTACATACTAATACAATCTATTCATATACTTAAATGTTAGAAGGTTTCCTAAGAAAATTACCATTGTCATAACATACATTTCTCTGTTTTGCCATGTATCAACTAGATTTCTTCTGAATATTTGATGTGCAACTTCTAAGCTAATACTTCTCTTAATTTGCTTACAAAAAAACTACCTTGCATCTTACAGTTCCTTAGCAACCTTTTAATCTTTTTTTAACTTGCAGTCCTGCATGTATATCCTGTAAACTTTTCAGGCTCAGAACAGTACCTTTTAATATTTTTCATTTAAGTTCTCTTAAAAAATGGGGAGTAAAAACTTACAGCTGATCAGATGTAGAGAGTAACTGATAGACGGGCTCCAAGGCATGCACATTCTGTGTTACCACCTGCAGAGCTGCCTCTTTACTGTGGGACTGACTCCAGGTTAACGCTCCCAGCGTCTCCCTGGCCTCAGCACCACACTAACTCAGCTTCACAGCTTCTGGAGCAAGGCTGGAGCTGCTTGTCTGTAGCTGATGTTATGACCACAGAGGTCTTAAAAGAATATATTAGCCAATTTTGTGGTAACAGCTCTTCACAACTTAATTACTTTATAGCCCTTATTTTATATTCTACCAGTTATTTTGTCCTTTCATTGTCTTTAATATCATACGCACTTCTCTGTCATGTCTTCCATTATCCCCTATAGCCTCTGAACTCTTCTGGTTTTCCTCGGTTTCCTTTCTACATTCCTAATACTGCTTTTATTATTAACCTAGAGACCTTTACTTACAGTAGTGTTTGGTTTTGTTTTTTTTTTTCTCATGTGACTGAAACCATTTAGTCTATATCTCTTATTTTCATACTGAAACCACTGAGTCTATATTTCTTACTTTCATTCCTGCTAGTTCTGAATGCTGCTATTACACTATATGGCTGTTACTATTGCCTAATATTTTTTTTTAAGTCTGGATTTTATCATTCTAAGTTGTTGACTGTTATTTAGGTCTCATGGTGATTTGGCTTCCTTCAACCCACCAATCATTTTTTCAAAATTTTTATCCAGTAGAAGCTTCCTGCTGAACCTTACCACTACCTGCATCTTTGGTGACACTTAACCAGTTTCCTTTTATTAACTCTGTTGGCTTGCCCATGCAATCTGTCTGTCCTACAGGTACATCACATATCTTTGATTTATCATTATTTCTTAAAGTAACCACTTAAAGTTTATTTTCAGAGAGAAAAATGACATGATTTAAAAATAATCTTACCTTAAAATTCAAGGTAGCAAACTCTGACAGAGGTCCTCAGAGTGGGAAAATCTATTGATTTCTAAATTACTTGTCTGTCTTAATTTAACATCAATATTAATATAAAAGAAAAAAGAAAAGTCTGTACTCGTAGATCATAGCCTGAACTCAGCACTCACTGAGCAATCATTTCAAAATTTGCCTCACTCACAGCAAGGGGTGGGACCCAATGACCTTGGGAAAGGACCTAGTTTTTTAACCAGTTAATCTATGGCTTTATGAAAAAGATTGATTTTATCCTTACTAAAAATACCATCTTTAAGAAACAACTTTTTAGATCAGAAAGGATGTGATAGATTTCTATCCAACGTGCACTGAGAGTAGAATGCAGAGTAATCGGTGGCCTTAGACTTCATTGATGGGATATTGTTTATTGTAAACAGAAATAGTTATAAATATATTTAATGAATTAATTTTAAAAACACAAGGCTGTGTTGTCTCTGGAAATTATTACATTGAAATTATTATATTGAAATCCCATCTACGTAAGCATACTTAGACCTTCTCTAATTTTTCTGAGCCTCTGATTTTTGTTTGTTTTTCTGAGCCTGTGATCACTGTCATCTCCACTAGATGGACCTCATGAGATGTTAAAATCTTTTTTACTGGTCTAACTGAATTTTATCTCTGTATGAAACATTATTTTTCTCTTAACTATACAAGGTGTTAAGTGCCCTGCAAGGGCCAAGTTTTCTTACAGAGAGTGCATATTGGGAAAATAATACCATTGCTACTTTTAGTGAGGACGCATGATAAAGTAGAAGTATGAAATTTTACTGTCCACCTATCAGTCTGTACCCCACCCCATTAACTTCTATAAACTTTAAGCAGGTGCAATCAAATTTTAAAAATGTAAAAATGTGAAGCATATCACGAGGAAGTATTCACACAGGCAGAGTTCAGCATAAGGAGATTTGCTTGAGTGTTTTATTTTTTACTTTGTGCATGGGAAACCCCAGGGGTGGTTCAAAACGGACACCTAAATGCAGTGACAGGAACTGTGCGCTGCAGGCCTGTTTCTTTTTTCCCTTGGGAAGAAGCAGCACCAGAAGATCTAAACCTGCCTTCATGGATGCCCACCCAGGTTCTGGCAGGAACCGAGCACAGGGCATGGCCCAGTGAATGTATGGAGCCTCCAAACAACCTCACAGACCTGCCTACCAGAAAGCTGGCAGTAGGTAGCTGACAGTGATCACGTGTGGCTCTGAAACAGTCACAACTTTCCGTCTGTTACCAGATGGAAGGCTGGGATGTCTGCGATGGAAGGGCAGCTGAGAACCGGTGTAAGAAGCAAAGCGTATTGCTGCATAAGTACAAGATGGTTAAGTCGCATTACTAATGCAGCTCACAGGCATTGCTGGAAATTAAAAAAGCTGCTCTAAGTTACCCTTAAAATATTTTCCTGTTTATTATATTTTTCAACTTTATTTTAATGTGTTTTATACAATATTTTTATTACCAGTGAAAGTATGCATCGCTGCTAACCAGGAGTGTGTTACTTTAACGGATTATTAGCCAAGTTTGTAGTCAGCAGTGGGTTATCTACTATTCTGAAACTAAAAATGGTTTTTCTGTTGAAGAAACTTTCCTTTCTGTTTACCCTTTTTGTATACACCTGGACTATCATTATATTGTTGTTTAGAATTAGTAGTAGTAATAATAAAATTAAGAGGATTGATAACTAGCCTTTATCATACTGTTAATTATATTGCTACATATTTCTGTGAAAAGCCAGCAAGCTATAAAATTGCACTAAGTAGAAAAAAAAAATCTTTGGATCAAGTAACTGGGTAATTCAGGTGTTTAACTGATAGTCACAGAAGTCAAACATTAAAAAGTTTTACAAAATTACAGCTAGCTACAACAAAGTTAGCAATCTTTGTTGGTTCTGGGCAGCACATCTCCCATGTTTCCTCAGTTTCTTCTAGCATTGCCTTTACTCACATATATTTTAAGTGTTGCGCTGTATGTTCTTACCTTCCATTCTTAAATGTTCGTTTATCCAAAGAATAACTCTCTTTTGTTATTTCGTCCCCACACTGAGCAGCAGAAGAGAATTGAAAGTTAGTCCATCCACTGTTTGCATTGATTCTGCTCACCATCTTGCAGCAATTTAGTAGCAGTCTATACAAACAATTTTACATACCATATTTTCCTTGGTATTTCCATACGTCATGGAGATCATCTCAACAAAGCTATGAGGTTGAGAGTTTCAAGTTTCTAACATTGAATGACTTCCTAAAAGGATAGCATTTAAGACTCTTGCACAGAAATTTTTGTCTTGTGAGCGTATGTGCCATTTTGTTGCTGTCTTGTCAGGCATACATTCCAGCTATCAGTGTATTTTATTTTTCTAAATTTTTCCCTTTAGTAATATTTTGGGTAGAATTTTCAGACGCTTCTAGATATCAAGCAATATTAGAATATCTAGCTTTACATTTTCTCAACCAGTTCTATTTTCTTTGTTATTAGCATTTAGTGACTCTTTTTCTTCTTACTGTCAAGAAAGCATTAAATTCATTTGTTTGCTAAACATCAAAGTACATTATTACATTTCTACCTGTGATTGTCCAATTTAGCAATTTTGAATGAGAACAACAGTGAACTTAATTGTCATTCTTTAGAGGGCCGGAACCTCAACTAGTGTAGAGTGACAATCATGTTATGCTGGTTAGGATCTGGTCCCAAACGTTGATATTCCACAAGATGGCAAAGCTTAGTTAAGATCATCCTTCTGAAGACTCTGTGTTGATAAAGCAATACGATCTGGTGCATAAGAATTGTAATCTCTTCCCTTCCCAACTGTCCCTGGGAAAAAAAGAGCTTTAGGAAACATGCTCATTTCCTGCAATAAGTAGTCATTTAATTAAAGAACAAAAGTAACAGGAATCAAAAATGCTTGCAGCTGTGATTCTGTTAGACATTATATAAAAAAGAATGAAATTATAATACATTAAATTAGTTTTTAGAACATGAACTTAAGTGTTTTACAAACTAATTGTGGTAAGTTCAAAATGTCTTGTCAAAGCAATACTGAATGACAGTGTGTCATGTCCATTTATGTCAGAGGCCTTGGAATGGTAAAGCCTGTACATGCACAACATCTCCTTTTCCAAGATAGACTGCAAAACAGTTTAACAAAGTGTTAAAGGAGAGTAGTAGGTTCTTTCAAGTAGCTTTACTTCAGTCTTTTTCAGCAGATCATCCCACTCCACAGGCCATCACTCTTCTGACTTCAGAGCGAAGTACGTCTCTGGTGTTTCTTTCTGTACGTAAGTGCTGCAGAGACTTCATCTGCAGAGTCCTTCTTTCACATAAACATCAAGGTATCCAGGGCTGAACTTTAGGGAAAGACTTATATATTCCCTGATGTGTGTTCAGCAGCAGTATCAAAAAGTAAAGACAGATTCTTCTCAGAAGAAAATTTCTATGGCCTGTGAAATCTAAGAGAAATAAGAGACATTTTTCAAACCACTTTGAAATAAAAAAATAGCACTTTTAAAAAATTCTGTTAGATTAACAAAAAATGTTTTTTAAAAAAACAGTATTCATTCTGTTTAAAGTTACGGTAACAGTACTGAATAACATTAGCAACCTGAAGTCTTAATTTTCACCACCACGTTTCCACATGTATGCCATGAGTGTAGGGCAGTTACAGTCCTCATGGCCCAGGCTAACCAGTTTACAGTTACTGGGGAGTGCAAGTGCAACTATAGGTGTAGGGTTGATTTGTTGGTTGGTTGGTTTTTTTTTTTCCTCTTAAGCCACAGCTCATCATTGGTAGAAATATTCTTTATTGTGTAGTGATCTTGTTATTTTGTAAGAGTTAAGCAATGTTGAGCTAATGCTCTGGAAAATATGAGGACATACTGTTGGTTTAATGTACAATAGTCTTAAGAGTCTGTCTGGAATAAATCTACTCGTTCTATAGGCTTGTTCTTTTGGCTGAGATACGTAATTAAAGTCCCAATCATTTGTAATGCCTTAGCACCAATTGTAAATTGTAATCCTGTTTTCTCTTAATATCCTGAACAAATTTCAAAATATTATCATCTACTTAAGCTCCCCAGGTAGCTTCAGTTAGAGAAGGTATCTCTCCCTTTCAGACTTAAATTGCAGCCATCCCAGGTTTTTTCCCCCTATATTTCATTTTGTCTTGCCATAAACATAGAGTCTGAGTCCTTTAATGTTAAAATGACCCTAACAATTGCATGAACATTCTAGAATTACATCAATACAGCCTTTAGATCAGTGTACACTGCACTTACAACTCAAGTGTGTTTGCCTAGACCGTATTTTCATTGAAGAGCCAAAGCTCAGTGAAGCTAGAATTGATTCCAAGTTCAGAAATAAGCCTGGGACTGGTGAAGTGAACCTTCCAGAACATGGGACTGCACACTGCGTTCCTTAGTACAGTGCTAGGCAACTTCCCTTAGCAGCCAGCACACCTGAGAATGCTTACCGAGATGGCAAGAGTACACTCTGCTCCCAGCAACTCCTAAAACTGTGTTTTAAAAGCAATTGGGCTTGCTCAAGAGACCTAATAGAAACTCTAGGAAATAACTGCTTGCTGTTTCAATTTTTCTCTAACTAACAAGGTGTTTTTGGAAGCAATGATGGCTGTGGAATCAGCCTCTCACATTTTTTCCCACTTAGAAAAGGGAAACGAATGTTTTCATGCATGTTTAAACATAGTGCCTGTCATCAGTGCTGGCAGATGAAGCAAGCACGAGACTGAGTAGGCTCACACTGGCCCCACCACTCGGAGTGCCAAGAGTCCAAACCAGTTGTGTCCTGCCCTCTCTGCTGGTCCGTCACTACATGTGCTCGGGGGGTTGCACTCCTTCCACTAGCAACAGGGCTGACATTGAAGGGACACTGAAACATACAGGCTCAACCCATTACAATAAATTCAGTTAGTTACTTAGGGGCATTAAGTATGTCTTGTTACAGTATATTTTATAAATTTTATATTTCTTACAGTATTTATTTTAAATTTTAGATTTCTTACCAGGGAAGTTGCAGTGTTTGTGATAATAAGGTTGCACACACAAGTACATTTAATTCAAAAACCTTTATATAAAATATTAAGTTGTTCATCTCCTTAAAAAAATTATATACCCTACATTTCATTTTTTGTCATAGCTTTTGAATCTTCAGTGCAAAGAATGCAAGCTGAGTGCTGCTCTGGAGAAGGTCTGGGGGCTTCTCAGCACATGCTAATCAAAAGAAAAAAAATGGGGAAAGCCAGGTTCTGGCCAGAAAGAGAAATACTTTCTTTTAAAATAAACCTTCCTTTGCATATTTTCCCACATCCAGCATGTAAGAGCAAAATCTACAGATTCAGGACTCAAGCAGACTGTTTTTAGCAGGCAATGGAAATAAATAGCTGGAACACTGACCTTGTCAAATGTTTGCTTGATGCATGTACCTCCATTTCATTACTTTTGTATTCATTTAGCTCTTTCCGAATTGCTGCCTAGTAATTGAAAACAGAAGGTGGTTAACAATTTTGTATTTATAAGCATTGTAAGATACCAGACTTGCAGAGCAGAACAGGAGTTTTCTAAAGTAGAAATAATAGGTATTGGGTATAACAAAGCACACTGTGCCAGTGGAGATGCTGAATATGTAGATTAAATGGATTGGTGATATGTTTTTGCTTATTCATTAGTGATTGCTGCCAGGGTTATGCCTGTCTAGGAGCAATTCTGATAGAATAAAACTACAGTGCTTATTGTCTAGATTAAGAGAATTTGCTGAGAAATTGATTAGCTGGTCAACTGATTTTCATGGAATGTCAATGTGTGTCATTTTTTAAATAAAAATCAGACTGTTTGCCTTATCACGGTTTCCAAATACCAGTCCAGACTCTGTTGTCACCAGGATCCATAGGACTGTACAGTCATAAGCAAAGAAAAATGTTCTCTTTTGGTGCTTAATACAATGAAACTCAAGACTATAAAAGTGAGAGTATTCTTCTGTTTAAATGGCAACTGAGTGGTGTTTTCAGATATTCTTTTATATTTGGTACTTCATTGTTTAGCTACGTAAAATGATGGGACTTATACCCTTGTTCATGTTTTATATCAGATTTGGCTTATTAAAAGAAAAACAAGGCAAAATAATGTATTTGTCTACTCCGAAAAAGAAGTTTTTCAGTCGTAAATGCAATGGTCAAACTCCTGACCCTGAATTCCTGACATATGTCACCAGTATATGCATTGAACTGTGTCACTTTCTTTTTAGCTTATAAACCTGCCTAGTTAACAATATAAAAACCGTGAAACTAGGAAAAGCCTAATTTTGATACATAACCAGTACATACAAAGAAAATACAAAATCATTATTCATTGATTAATATATAACAGCTTATTCACCTTTTTAGTGAGCTCAAGAGAACAGCTACTGTAGTAGAAATATATTGTTCCTTTTTTATGAGTCCTATAAAAACATTTGTTAGACTTTTTACTGGGGAGACACTGGAATGGAGAAGAACGAAGTGTTTGATCTCCACACCTCAGAACAAAGCGGTAACAGTGCCAATATTTGCCATTTTACCCAGTAATTACCTCAGCATCCCTAGTCATTCTGCTTGCTGCAGCCCTGAAACTTCAAAACTTACTCATCAACTGTTCTATCTGGAATCAAGCTGAACTGTTTTTCTTACTACTTAAGGCACCTAAATGTGAAAGTTAAATTAGGATGTAAATCAGCTATGTGGCTGGTATGTGATGGAACAGAAATGAGTATTTGTTTATGCTTGTGAAAATGTGGGATCAAGCGACTCCTTGAGCATTCATAGGAAACAGGAAAGGAAATATTTGTGTGTTTAGAAACACAGTGGAAGATATTTACATGTTTGGGACAAAACTTCCCAGTCTAAGGATAAATGTTAATACTATAAAGGCTGGGTAGAAGCCTTTATAGTCCTAAATAGGCATTTTTATAAATAGCACTTTTTATGATAATATGCATTGGTCAGTGGGGTTTCAGCATAAAAAATAATGGTAACATTTTCAGAGAATAAATGTCCTGGAGGTTAAATGGCTTTGCAGAATTTGATGTATTATTATAGACAAAGCAAGTAGAAAGCAGTAATATGTCACTTTATTACGTCATTACCTTATCTGCTGCTGATAGTCTTGTCCATGGTTTATCTGCTCGCCTGTCGTAGTCCTGTGCTTTTGCCACTTCCACATAATCACTGAATCGAATCAGGATTTTTCTGTCTCTTAGCTCATCAACTGTAGGTCTCTGGTTAAGCTGTATTAAATATTTGGTAAAATAAAATGAGTGTTAATAACAAATGTTTTTTGCTTCCCATCTTAGCTGAGTGTGCATTTATGTATATGAAAAAAACCCCAACCCTTGGAAATTCCAGGGAAATACACAACCCTTCAGAAGATTGTTAGAAGAGTAGTAATGGTTTAAATGGAGTTGTGGGCTACAGCACAGTGGCTTTATAATGGACAAAAGAGGAAAATATCTTAACCTGGATATTGATAAAATTAATTTATATTACATAAATCATAATGAATTTATGATTTATGTATAATATCATATGCTGTAGGGTGTTCTACAACAGTCAGTGGCAGATTGGCTGCGTAAGGTTTTCAGGCCTGGACCCATTGTAAGAATTTCAATTTGTCTTTAACAAGTTATCACCATATTTGGCTTATAATTTCAGTCAGGGTTTCTAGGAACAGAACAATAACAAGATCTACTTCTGATTCTGAGAATACCTTAAATGCGAAGAGAAATTTATTGTGGGAGCACACCTGGTGCTCAGCAGGGACTCAGCTCTACTCCTGATGGCTACAGAGAATGAAGTAGTCCTAGCAGTATAGTTGAAAATAAGCAGTGTGCAAGCAAATATCCATTTTCTGATTTAAAGCTTATATATAAATATTCTAATAAGACTCGTGTAGCTGAGATAAAGTAGATATTTTTATAATTCGTATTACTAAATATGCCTGAGACACTGCTGAGGAGGATGTATGTTAAGGGATTTTTTGTGTAATAATGACCTCTATGACTGGTTGATGTTATATTAGCTTTGCTAAGTTTCTAAAAGCTAAAAGAAGGTACTGCAAGATTTTACCTTTCTTGTCAGTCTCTGTTTGATTTCCCTTCTTTCTTCCTGTTCTGTTTGATCATTTCTTTCTGTGGAAAATATTTTAAAATAAGATTAGTTTCCTCATGAGGATTAGTATTTTCCAAAGTTCCAGGCAATAAAAATTAAGAGTGCAAAAAAAAACTAGTAGCTGGTTGTTTTGTAAGTTCGGTACATCTCCCTGGTTCTCTATTGGAACGTAGTTACCTCTCTGTAAGGACACCTTACTGGTGCCAGCGTCAGCTTTTCCTGTGCTCTAAACTCTAAGGAGATTTAATAAAACAACAGCAGCCACAGTAACTCCCCAACTGTATAAACTTCAGAAAGAAAATCAAAATACTCCATAGTTAATCTTTTTTTTTTTTTTTTATATTGCTGAAGCCATTCATTGCTGTTAGATGCTGAAAAGACTCATTGCATAGCTCCAGGGAAAACTATGTTCTTTCCTCTATAACCGTATTCTCAGGCCACATCTTCAGATGGTCACACTGCCACGGCAGTTATCTTTGACTTGCATGCTTTTTTTTCTCTGATATTCAGGATGTGTCACTGACATTAGAACCTCTTTATCCTCATGGGGTTTTCTTTTGTAGCGTTCCATTCTAACCTAAGCCAGCTCGCTTTTGTGTGTTGTGCCTATTAACATTCAAGCCGTGATAACTCCTACACACTGGGTCTAAAAATAGAGTGCTGTAACACTGTGTGAAATATATCCTTTGCCTTGGGAAACAAGTTAATGGCGTTTCTATTTCGAGTACTATCTGTTACTAAATTAAGGTGTGAGCCTATGACCTGACAAAGCTGAAGACCTAGTGAAAAATGTTTAACCATTCTGGGATTCTCTAGATGCTACTGTGAAGTTTATTATACGACTGGTATTAGGTATTTCCAGTGTTTAAGCACACGTGATTATTAATGTGCCTCGAAAAAACACTAGCACTGCAGATGAGTTTCCAAAATGATATTTTTAGTAATGACGTATTCTCTCATTTTTACGCTCATTAGTTTACACTGAAATGCAGTCGTAAGTATCTATTTAAAATAACATCGCAGTGCATAGCCACAACTAGCTATAGTAGAAATGCAAATTAAAATGCTATAATGTGCTGTATTGCAATTCAGTGTCAAGGCACACATTTAAAAGAATAGGACAGCTAAAATTAGTGCTCTGTCAGGGATGAACAGCTATTTAAGTCTGGAATGTTTAAAAAGAGAACAGGCTTTAAAAAGTGGAGCATATTCTAAGATGTAGAGATACCTGCAAGAAGTTACTAATGCTTCATTCAGTTTTAATTCACACCTTTTAGAGTCGATATTCCTATCTATGTATTTTTATTCAAAGAGAATTTCCTGTGGCAGAGTGCTTTTTAAACATATTCCTGTGATATGCACTGAGAGAATACCTAAAGGAAAAATAAAAATGCACATTTCTGATCAAAAAATGCTTTTCCAGACATACTGAACATGTATAGTGACCCATTTCTTTGAGACATTCTCTGAGGTTCAGTGCTTATTCCCAGCTTCAAGAAATATAAGAAATGGTTCTTTTAGAAAAAAAAACCAAACAACAGATTGATAGGAAATGCTAGCAAGGGCATTATAAAATTCAGGCGTTATTACAGAGACAACCCAGAGAGGTTTTTCCCATCAACATCACTCTGCCTACACTTAGATCCATTCATTAGTGAGGGCTGGTTTTATAAACCTCAGTAGAGAGACACTCCCAATTATGAAGTGGCATGTGCAGTACTGTAATTCATTTTGCTGCTCTATGAGTTATTCAGGGAACTCTTAGCTGTGCGTGACACTGAAACAATTCCTGGTGTTAAGAATGAACCGGGGATTGCACAGTGTGATTTAAGAGATGCTGCCTTTTTGAATGTGACTGCCAGCTTTCTGCTGAATACAGGAAGATGTGTGAACACCTGGAACGTGATTTTAGTTCCTAAGCTTTTCGTGCTTTGTGGTAAACCAGCAGTGTTTCTATAGATAAAGGAGTTAGAAGATGAACAAAATTGTGAGGAACTGTTGGCTTTAAGTTTGCTGTTTAAGTATTACTTTTATCTCAGAAACATCTCCCTAAGGGAGATAAGTCACTTTTTAAAATCTTACTGAGCTTTATTTTAAAATAACGTAGTAGTTGCACTTAGGCACTGATTTTGACAGAGGAGTACAAATGTGAATTATTAGTTCTTAACACAGGTTTGGAGGTAGCATTGCTTCTGTTAGGAGTATGTATTCTGAACATCAAAGATGTTAGGAAACTTACAGTGCAACTGTACAAACCCTTACAACCCGGAGGAGATTGCAGTGATTTCACTGAAGGGCGTTTATTCCTAACACCTAACAAGAATGTTGATACCCCTATTAATAAAAAGAAACTTTACTAATTTCTAAATTCACTCAATACTGAGACTAGAGTTGTTACATCTGCCCGGCCTTTTAAGATTACAACTGATGCAGCTAAGTGATGACCTTAGATCTTTACAAGATACTTAGCCTTTTATATTATGGAAGAGGCAAATGAAATGGAAGTGGTTCTGATCTCAGACGGACCTGTATAAAGCCTGAGCAACGAAACTGAATAAATTTGCTCCGTGCTGGGAGCACTTTAAATAAGATAGAAATCTAGACCAGTATGTAGCTGGCATTCAGGAAATATCTTTAATGCTGCTTTATCTTCTTTCTGCTTTATCTCTCTCTAAGCTCATTATATGAATGTATTCAAACTTTTTTATTATTAAAGCTGGTCAGTTTAACCCAGATTAAGGATGTAAACAGCACACACCAAAAAGTAAACATAAAGGAACAGATTTCTTCAGTAGAGATCAGCTCTTCCTTAGCCAGGAAAAAACAGAGAAACAGGTTTTCAGAGATCTTAGGTACTCACTCTTGAAAATCTGGCCCCACATATTTCAGAATCTAGAGTTAATGCTTTTTCTTGTCTCTTGTGGTACATGACAGGTGAAGTTAGGCCAAGTTCATCCATTCACATTTGCAAAGAATGTGTCCTGTTTCTCATTTCGCTATGCACGTGTTAGGTACATGTAATTTTACCGTGTGCAATGTATGCATTGGAAGAGTACTGAAAATACTGAGAAGTTGGCTATGGAATTCCTTCGTGTTAAAACTGAAACGAAATCCCCAGTAACTTCAATGGCAAGAGCATAAGGTTTTTTCTATGAACTACTAAGAAAGTTCTAAGACATTAAATTTTAGGTAAAAAAATGTAGATAACTTTTTAATAATGAATTACAATCACAATAATTAAATATGAATTAAAGTAGCAGAGGCAGCATTGCTTGTATTACAGACTTATGTGGCGTTATGTTTTATGCCTGTTTAATGAGCAACAAACTATTGTTCACATAATTGTTTTTTGTTTTTCAACACTAGACCATGAAAATAACAGAAGCAATGTACTTTTCCTCCAAGCAGATGGCCTCCCCCTTTCTCTTGTTTGTGACTCATAATGGAGCCAGTTTCAAAGCTCTCTCTCACCTTCCCCTAACTTTGAGGATTTCCTGCACTTGCAAGGAAAGGGATTATGTTCATCACTTCTTTGAGCCTCAGGTCAGAATCTTTAGGAAAAGAGTTGCAAGTTTCTGTCTTGTGTTTATTTTGAGAGATGTTGAGAACATTCCCCCATGGCAGCATCTATAGAAGGCCTCGAACTGTCCCTCTAACAACTCTTAATATGTCAGAATGATCTATCTTTGACTTGTCTTTGGGAAGATCTTTAATCATATGATCAAAAGTACTTGCTAGGAGAATCACACCTCTGTAAGGATGCTTCCTCCATTCAACTTTAGCCTTGGTGGCAATTCAGTGTACAGTTTGCCATGACAGTCCACATCTTGGAAAATGTCAGTCCAATTCTCATTGCACTGTGTGACAGTGAAATTGTGTTCCTCTCTTAGACATCCATAACAGTGTAATCAGAATGAAAATTATTTGAAAGCATATATTTGAACAAGTCATTCTTTCCTGGACTAAATTGCTTGCCTTTATCAAGTTGCAAATTGTGATTCCTGCAGTATTTGAAACCCAGGACATGTGAAAAATTAAAACTTTTAGGTACAGAAAATAATCCCAGTGAATGAATTTGTCTATTTAAAAATAACATGTTCTAGAAATGCAATCACTGGTTTCAACAAACACATATAAAATACTTCAGGAAAAAAATACTCACGTTTAAGTATATTTCTTCTTTCTAGCTCCTCAACAGCAGGTCTTTGGCTGAGTCGCCTGCGGAAAAACACCAAAATCACATTTTGTACCATGCCTGTTCTTTGGAAAGTCTGCAGTATTCTGAGTTCTGGTTGGTGTTTTCCTTAGGGAGGGGACTACAGAATCCCTCTCCAGGACAGAGGAAGAAAAAACAATACAAGAATCCTGGCACCAGAATGTTTTCTTCTATTATTTTTCCCAAATGTCAGCAATGCAGGTGGAAGTTCTCCTCTAGTTTGCTCTGCTGTCAGTGAAATGCTCCCTCAGAACGTGCATCCTTTTCACCATACTTTCCAGACAGTCAGTTGGAACCAGCGCTCTCCAATGGTTAAATTCACTCTTGTGAGGGTATTTAAGGTGGTTATCAAATGAGTTTCACAGTGATCTTCTGTAGCTACCGCTGCCTCTACCTTTTAATCTCACATAGCAGTGGGCTTCCTTTTCTCTAGTAACACTAGTGGTGCATCCTGACAAAATGCAGACTTGCCAGAAATAAAGCTTTCCTGTGGTTTCCCGACTACACATCTAACAGACCAATCCAGCAGCTCTCCTCCTGCCTGCTGAATAAAATTCGTGTGCTGCTCACAGCCTCATGCTGTCTGAACGGAGTGTCTTATGCAGTTTCACCTCCCCTTTTCAGTAGTGCTGCTTCAGGATTGAGTCTTCAAATCATATGATCAGTGCCATAGCGATTTTTTTTTCTGCATACTAAATGAGACTTCCCCATGAGACACTGCTAATATCTGCAGAGAATCTCAGGTAATTGAGCCCCTCCCCTAGGCAGACACACACACATGCTGCATTTGCTAGCTTTCAAGTAATAATCCAGCAAGCAGATCGGAAAGAGTTTATGATGCTTTCTGGCCATGGTTCTGGCAATGTTAAGGATTCTCATCGTCTCCTCTCCAGCAGATGTTGCCAAGCCAGAGATGAAGTTACAGAGACAAAGAAATGCTCAGACCAGGGACCACACTGCAAACCACTGCTGCAGTAGTTATCCCTCTACTGTCTATAGGAAATAAAGGAATGATTATAAAGGGATGCTATAACAAGATCTACCTTTTGTCATATATACAAGAGATGGAATAATGAAGTAACTGTTAACAGCCTGTAAAAGAATTGGTAAAAGTACCTGATTCTAATTGCTCCTTGCTTTTTAAGCCTTAACCAAATATAGGTTCAAAATCAGCTCTGTATTCATATGTTATCAGACCAGCAGCCCAAAATATGACTGCAACTCCTTATCCTTTTTAAATTAATTTCCCTGATGTCACTGGGAAAGCTCTCATCTTTGGCAATAGGAAGGTATCACAACTACTATACCAGATTGACACCAACAGAAAACTTAGATGATGAACTCTTATGCTTAGAAACACCTACAATCTAACTCTCGTTCCTCCTACCTAACATTTTGTATCACCTAAGGTTTTTCTCCTGGTCTCTGGATTTCTTTTTGGACTAATGAGTCGGATACTCCAGCAGTGGAAGTTGTAATAATCCAAACAGGAAGGGTGGTGAAATGCCCTACTAAAGGCTTTAAATATGTAATTTAAATTCCTGTTACCCTTGGGCTCCTTCCTCCTCAGTCATTTCCCTGTATGTCTTAGAAATGATATAACTCTAGCTAGATTTTGTTTGAAAGAGATTAATGTGCATTTTATAATATAAATCAGGGAAGAATGACTTAGAGAGCTTATCTGCAAATTAAAGGTCCAACAGACCTGCTGCTCACATGCCTCTATCTCAAGCCATTCTTAATTACAGCTCTTCCATGTGAGATTTATAGATTCTACCAGAATCTGTACATTAGATTTCAGAGGCCCCTTTTAAACTGGGGGATTAAAAGCCTAACAGAAATGATTACAGCAGTGTGAGAATGCATATGTATATGAATGCCTGTATAGCATGTATATATATATGTATAGTTATGTATGATGGTTAAGTATTTAAAACCCTGTTTCACTTTTGGCTTTGATAAATACATGAGAGGTGCACAGAGACAACATATTTCTGTGTACACCCTCAGCTTTACCCACAACAGCAGGAAAAGGTGCAGTTATACACAGGCGTATGCACGAGTAGGCATTGCATTTTTTTCCCTGAGTTTTTCAGACATACGGACCATACTTCCAAGCTTTTTGTCATAGTCACGAAACTAGATACGGACTTTTCTTCAAACTAAATTCTAAGAGGGTTTTGGGAAGCTGGGGACAGAGTAATAACACCAAATAGAGCAAGAGTCATGATCAAACCATGAGAAGTGGCAACACAACTGAGTAGCAACATTTAGTTTGTTATTCTGTTCAGGAGAAGCCTCTCTGCCCAGAAATCCCTTTCATTTGCTTTCTGCACTGTGAGAGCTGTGCTACGTGGTGGCTGGGCTCCCGGCAGAGGAAATGGCACAAATCGGTGAAGGTGAAGGACTCCAGGTGCCTCCACCAAGGGCTGCTGATGGTAACGAGGGGAAGCAGCTGTGAGCCCGGCCCAGCCAGGTGGGCGAGGGCCAGGGGGGCACGTGTCTCTGCTGAGCTGTGCCGGCATAAATCAGGATATGAGAGGCTCCTTGTGCTGAAGGGTTTTTTCTATGTCTGGTGAGCAGTGTGTCTGGTTGCAGAGTGTGCTGCCTTGCCTGATCATCCACTGTAGCAAGACACTAGTTGCTGCTGTGGGTGTTGGACTTGTGGGCAGAGCCTGTCCTGCTCGAGTTGCTCAGCTGCTTTGGGAGGATGGAGGAGGGTGCTTCATCCCCCCACAGGGGACTGAGCAGCCCCAGCCACGCTATTTCCTCAGAAAGGGACTCGCAGTCCCCCTTGATACCGCCAACTTCCCTCAAAACTCACTTGGAGCAAGGACAAATACACTTCTGAAGGTTTCTCTCAGGTCAGCAGCTCAGGGCAGTGCAGGGGAAGACGCAGGTTACCCTTGTCAAAAATGCATGTCCCTCTTGAAGGGAGCTTTTAAATAAGAAACTGTTTCGGATGAGCTTGTGCCTCTGCTTGGGTGACCTGTTCTCTGGGCAACAAGTGCTCAACTTTGGATATTTATTTCATGTTTTTCTCTGAAGCTGTTAAAATGTGAAATCCCTCCTCTGACAGAACCAGAAAGCACGCCCTGCGTGTCGAGCTCGGTGCGTTTCCTCGGAAGGTGGCTGGCCGGCCCTGCGGAGAGGCAGCGCCATGGCCTCAGAAACGCCTCAGGCAGTCCGGCCTGGGGGAATGGTGGCCAGCTCGCCTCACGCTGTTGTTGGGGAGCGCAGGCCAGGACGCAGGGACTGAGAGACCAAGGCTCTAGAGGGGGGATGCTCAAATCTCCCTTTTAAAGGAGGCAAACTCCAGCTATCAGCAGGCTGAATGACAGCGGGGGAGCTCGTGCGTGATCCCAGAGGATGAAGCAGGCACCTGCCACGAAGGAGCCTTTGCAAAGACTGAAGACTGAGCCCTCAGCGGGCTGTGGATGATGTCCACAAGCTTTGCACTGAGATAATTTTGTATTCCAGAGCTGCAGGACATTTTGAAGCAGAGCCCTCGCTCGTTTCTCCTGGCTTCAGTAAAGTGCCTGCACCTGAGTGTGGGCGGCCGCAGCGTCCCGGCCCGGGTGCCGTGGCTGCTCTGCAGCTCTGCCCGGAGGAGCATCTGAAGGTCTGAGGTGGCCATGAGGCTCCAGCGGTGCAGATGTGGACGTGGCTGGGTGAGTCTTGTGGTTTTTGTTGTTTTTTCACCTGCGGGCTCAGCCCCACATGGGACTCGCCTCAGGGAGGTGACTGTAAGCTCCACAGAGAGCACTAACGTAGAGCACCACTTCTGTTGTGTCACAGTAATGGTTTCTTTTCAGCTGATTTAAATTTAGGTATCTATTTCTTGCTTTTGGGAAAAGCATCCAATTATGCTGTTGTGTTCTTGGGTGATATTAAAATCTAGGTTTGGGTATTTTTGTACTGTCTGCTGAGGCAAGAGTGCCCTCTGAGCACCTCTGCAGGGCAAGCCATTTCTGGAAGGGCCGTGAAACTTTCTTGAAAACTCTCAGGTAACTCCTGGGCAAGTCCTATCTCTGTCCAGATCCCCCATGGTGTAAATGCATGGACTGTCACTGGTACTGCTGTGGTCTCATGTTAAGATGATCCACTCCAGGAATTTCTTTCCCCATTACACCAAGGGATGCCAAGAGCAGAAGTAAGGAGAGCTGAGCTGGCAGCACCTCAGTCAAGGCAAGTGCAGCTGCCTCAGGGAAACTGAGCAGAACTGGACACACCAATGTTGTTTCCTTGTAAATGATGTTTGGATACAGTTCAGACAGAGCTTGCTGTACATGTGTCAATGATGCGGCAATTCTGGATAGAGACCAAAATCTGAATATTTTCTCATAATGCTGAAGCAATCTCACTAAGTTGGGGCGGGGGGGACGCACAAGGGATGATGGGGACAGATGATGATACACAACACTACACAAACAGTTATTTCTTAAGTTCAGAAAAATAACAAAGCTTTTGTGTTATTGTTGTTCTGTGCAAAGTGAGCATAAAGCTTCAAGCACCAGGTGTTCTTCAGCTGTTTGAAGTTTGGGTAGTGTTCTGGGGGTATTTTCAGATTACCTTTAGACTGTTTTCTCCAGTAATTTGGTGTCAGAAAGGTAACTGGATAAGCTTACATATTGCCATCTCTCAGAAGCCAAAGAGTTTGCCTGTTCTTGTGTCCTCTGCAGTGTTAGTCCTGAGGGTGAGAGGAGCAGGTCATTGCAGGTTAGCTCAGTCACCTGTGGTTTGCCCTGAGAACACCCTGCTGGCAGGGCCATGTGCACTCTTGGTCTCCAAGTACTTTGGGTGCTGAGAGCCTGCACATGGCCTCAGGATGGTTGTTTTCTCCATGCAGTGTGCACATGGTAATGCTGTAACATTCATAAGTGCTCCATGCTGGCTCTGAGAGGAGCAATAAATCTATGAGTGTTTGGTTGTTTCCCTTGACACTGTGTATGATTGTAGCAAAACAGGCTGCCCAGGGCGATGAGGAGTACTGCCCCCACCA